TGTTTCTCTTACTTGAGCATATAAAGGGCATGCATATCATTTTCAATCAACTTTTAAGATTTTACAATCTCAAACTCCCTTGGAGTTTTATTGAGGCCACTTCAAAGATCTTGTTCACTTTGAAACTGTGTATGGAATCATCTGAGTTACAAGTCATTGGTGCATGCTAGAAATGGTAGCAGTTGTAATAATTGTCCTGAAACAGTGTATAATGTATCATATATAAAATTTTAAAATATGTAATTTCATCATTGTCTGGTTGGTCTTTAAACTTGAATTTGAATTTATTTTGGATTTAACCATTTTCAGTCTATCACCAAATCATATTACAAGTTAATTAATTTATTGTCGGAAACTAGAGCTAGTCATAATTACTGTGGTGATCATTGTATACACCAATATTTATATAGTTAGATGGCACAGATAAATATCTACTGACATATAATCTTCAACATAATTAAAATACTTTTTTACGAAAAAGATGAGATGATGGCAGGCAAGTGGACGTAACACGACAAGGCATTGTTAGTGGGGGAAGTTTATTAAAACTGCGGTGTCGATTATCAGAAATTAGATCATGGAGAATCGCGGTGAATTTGGCATCAAATCTCCGGTGTGCTTTCCGATCACAGGGGTTCGTTACAAATGTCTAAAATACACATATGATATACTGATATGGGTCACACTCACAGTTTATGTGTGTTGTGACCCAGTCAGTATAGCATATGTGTTACTGTATTTCAGACATTTGTAACGAACCCCTGTGTTTCGAGTGTATCCCTTGGCACTGTAATATTACGGCCGACGGATTGACCGACGTTATGTTTACAGTGTCTGGTAACGCCGATTTATTGTCACAAGAACCAAATAACATGATGATGGGACTTTTGTTTTCTTTCACCTTAGAATTTGTCAGAAATGTAGGTACCATATAACAAAAGTTAAACCGAATGTTACGTAATCCGCATGCTAAAATAGCTGGCCACCTAGACGAAACTTTATATGCTCAACACATGGAGAATGGTTTTCTTTCTATTGATCTAGACCACACTCCAACAAATTTAGTTCGAAAATGTGCTCGGCATGTTTAACAAATATATTTCTATTAATTTTGAAAGATTAGTGACTACAAAGCATATGTATTTCAATGATGTTGAAGTTATATGTCAGTCAATATTTATCAAGCCTCTTCCCGACTTTCAACTGACGACAACCGCTAAAAAGTTAAAACACCTGCTGCATATTGTCGACTTTCTACCCGGCTTTGACGTCTAGATTTAACGGGTTCATGATCGACTCGCCGAGTATTTTTGGTAAACAAGCGAACGATATACGCGTACACTACTCATGTATTTAAACAAGCATATTAAAACAAGGATAAAAACCACTCACCTCCAATTAAATCATCACACCAGTTTCCGCGTAGTTTTGTAACAAAATTTCCTTCTTTCGCGAAAGAGTTTCCTGCGAGGCCGCTTAGTTCGCGATAAATACGTTCTTAGTTGAGAACGTTCTCAAATATTTGAGAACGTATTTGAGAAAGCCAATTTTGAGAACTTCTCAGCTAAGCACGTACGTAGTCTGAGAATTGAGAATTGAGAACTAAGAATTAAGAAGTTTCGTGCAAGCGGGGCCTGGTCATCTAAATGAGTTTCTGTTAAACATCTTCGATATAGCCCAATGTATTCCTATCGCCTAGGCCTATATTAAGGTGAAATATCGAAAGCTCGTCAAGCCTAGCCCTCTGGCCAGGATTGGATTCAATATCAATGTGTTGTAATAAAAGTAGAAACAAATTTGCCGAAAACTCAGAATTTCGAAATCATGATTTTTTTTTTATTTAATCTATTAATTAACCATGAAAGCAAGATCTGACCACGGTCGAGCATCCATAAAAAAATTTGGAACTAAACGATAAAAACATAAATGATCTCATCGAACATTTACCGTAGACCTTAGAGTAAAAGCTACCGATTGCTATTCGGTGACACATGTCAGAATTACCTAATCAAATAAACAGAAAGATAATTTTATAAGATAGCGAGTCGGTTTCATACATGGACCTTGTGCAATCCAGCAAACGATTTTTTTTACCTGTGTCAGTGTTGAAGAAAGAAGAAAGAAGCCGCGATGTGAACATTCACAGTCACGTAAAGCAGTAAGTGAGTAGTACTAACTAGTACGCTATTCGCGGTTTATTCAGACTCAGAGTACACTCCTTTGTATGTTATAGCTCAAAAACGTTAAAAAAATATTTCAAGTTAATCCTTAAATATGACAGAATTTTCAATATTTTCAATCGTGCCTCGCACCTGCGTAAAATATTAGGATTCTGCAATCTATCATGTTTCCTCACAACTTGTGCAATGGTCGAGGGGAGACAATCCTTATTCTGCAAAAATTTCGTTATGGTGTGTATTTTCATGGTCTAAGGGACACAATTATTACACAAGTTTTAATGTTTGATGGAGGGGATAGAAGGAGGGAGAGGCAGAGGAGGGTAGGAAAGGATAAGGAGGAGAAAGAGGCAGTAAATAAAGACAGGAGGAGGGTAAGAGGGATTAAGAGGGAGAAGGATGTAGTTATTTGTGAACCGCTTAGAGACGACCTAAGAATTAGGTTGTGATAAAGCGGTATATATAAGAACCTTGAATTATTATTATCATTTATTAAATAATATAGCGTAACGTTCGTGTTGGCTCAGATTGGGAACCATTCTACCAGACAAGTGAAATATATCATTATTTATTGTATCAAGAGCATTCAACGAGACACCATCATTGTTGTTTTTTTTTATTATTAATTTTCATTTCTATGACTCTGGAATACTTATTTTTCGTGTTATTTTCACAAGAACACGAGCATTGTCCGACAGAGCAGTCTGAACTTCATGGCGAACTTTGGATTAATAACGCCACGGTAATAATTACGTCAACAAAACATGGCAGACACTGACCCTCCCAAGATTCCAGAACAAGAGGGAACAACAAAAAGCTGTTTAAAAAGAGAACCAACAGACAAGTTAACAGCTACAGCAACAGGGTTGTGGAGTCCTGGTATAGTCTGTCAAACCATGTGGTAAATGCCTCTAGTGTAAATAGTTTTAAACACAGACTCAACAAGTTCTGGTCTGATCACCCCTGTAAATTCAATGCCTCTTGCTATTAACAAGATCGAGTCAGACCATTAATATCTTCACTCACCTTTTAACTGTAAGATTTCAGGATTTTAAACTCTCTATATCAATACGCACCGAAAGTCGAGTATTAGTGTTAGGAACATTAAAATGCGCCGCAAGAGGAACGAACGTTGTATTTGATCAAAGCACGTGGGGATGATCTTTTCCTCATTACACATATATATGTACGGTACCCCGGTAGCGGTGTTCAAATGACAGATACATGTATCTGGATTTACCCATCTTAGTGTACTCTACTTTAAACGCATAATAAGAGCATTGATGGAAAGCGCGAAAAGTCTTACAGTAGGGTTGCCGCTAAAACATGAAGGTTTTTTATGAAAATAAGTTTTCTGAAAAACTTTCTACGAATTGCGGAGTATGTTTTAACTATGTCTTAAAATAATGTAAAGCATACATTTTAGTACAGTATAACTGTATAGGTAGATTCTACAAATTTGTGGAATTTAAAGTGACGAAATCTGAGATGATGATGTGTGGTTGTCCGAGTGAGTTGAATCCAGACGATGACCTCATCAACTGTAAGACCTTCATACTGGGAAAAAAAACATCGGTTAGGCGAAAGACATAATTTTCACAAGCATGACTTACCTTCACATGAACCATCTTTTGCACAAACCGCATGATGTTACGTCTCCTGCCATTTGAGATCAAACACACTACTGAGAAGTCAAGTTCATCCTACATCCATTACTAGTCATTTTTGACCTTTTGAACTAAACTATTCGGTGAATTGAGTGAAGCGTCACTTTAAAACGTTCCTTCGAAATTATCAAAATAAGTTTATCAACACAGAGCACGGTATCAAATACCAAAGCGATTCCAGGTTACTGGAACTGATAAAATTGACGTTGATGACGTCATCAGTTACGTCATGCTTCGCCGTCGAACGTCATTTGACGTCATTCAAAGAACATGATGCTTTAACTTTAATGTTGAATATTTTAATTTACCCTGAACCAAGTCCCGCAAGTGCCAGATAACAAGTTATTCAATAAAGCATGGGTTTGGCAATTAGTAAGCAAGTTATAGCGCGTGCATCTATACGGAATGTTGTATTTACCTACTAGCCGGAACTACTTTTTACGGGAATCCCCTTGTCATGGCGAACTGAAAAGTTCCCGGTATTTGCAAAAAATATCAAAGTTTATAAAATCTTTGTATCGATCTCTACCAAATACGGAAGGTATGTGATAAAAGCAAGACCACACACTTATGTTTTTCTAACGAATCAGAAAGCACGAGTTTATTGCGCGGACGTCTATATTCGTCCGCGCAATAAACTCGTGCTTTCTGATTCGTTAGAAAAACACAAGTGTGTGGTCTTGCACATATAACATCTTGTTTTAATTTTCCTATACATACGAATTTCGAATATTTAATTATGTATGTTTGTAACCTATATGCTGTATTGCATTTGGATATAATAAAACTTGAAACTTGTATTACACGGATGAAAGGTAAACAAGCAACTGTTCCATACGTTTTGTGTTTGAGATACAACAATTAAACTTTTGTTTCTATGTGATGTATATTTCTTTCAAATTGTGTTTGGAAAATAAGTGACGTAGAACAAAAGGACAGACGGCCCAAGCGATGACGTCATTATGTCGAAGTGTTTTGTCGAAGATTCATTAGGTGACGTCATCCAGTTACATCAGCACCTACCGGGAGTATTTTTATGTGACGATAGCATAGAGTGAAAAAATCACAATGACATGTAATGCGAAGTTCAACAATTTAATTATGTAAATACATGATGATGATATTTACAATGGAATGAACATCAAATGCGGCTCAAATAAATGTTAATTGAGCACATAAGTCTAATGAAAAGGAGTCAACAGGGTCAATTTAAAACCTGACTTATATTTATCATAACAGGCTGTGAACAGACGATCAAAACGCAAAACAGGTAATTAATTAGTAACAAAGGTAGAACAATGAAAAACATGAACAAACAATGTACAGTTCCTGAGTGCAAGGGCCGTAACTCTGCGTGATGATTAACAATATAACAGAGTCAAAAAATGGAATCTAGAGATGAGAAACTATACCAATTAGCCCAATTAAACTGGTATGAGGCCAAATGAAATTTTATTTTTTATTTTTATGGTAACCCTATCTACCCTAAATTGTTTTCAAACATGCTATAAGAAACACACTTATTTTTTCCTGGCCTCAGTTAGAACAATTCCATGTTGAACATGTGTAGTGGACCTCGTTCTGATCGCCACATATTCAACTTATGACGTCATAGAAAGTGGGTGGTCATGTCGGGTGAGGGCTGATTCCCTTGATCAAAAATGGCTGCCGATAAAATAGTACCCGCTGTTAACAATTTCCAAATGAGTTAGACGACACAGCGTAAACCCTGTCTGTGTCAATGTCGATTTTGTTTTTATAAAATATCATCAACAACGGTCTACCATACTTCATCATATTGTTGGCTTCGGCAAAATCAATGGCAGAAGAGTTCTGGAGGGGACTGGAGAACCCGACAGTCTGTCCTGGTACGTGTTTGGCTAGGTGTCGAATGATTGCCTTAGCGATATGTTTATTGTCAGCATAAAGTGGAGCGATCTGATTAAATGAATCTTGTGACCGAAGCACACCATACCCACACACTTTGTTATTCCTCATGGCAACATAGGTCTTTGATTGTTCGTGGTGGATCCAGTTTTGTATGTATGCTTCTCTCGGAATTTGATGGATTTCTGCATCGTAAGACAAGATGTCTGCCATATCGACATCCGACGCGGGTAAAATTTTGAAACGTTCGTCAGTGCACGGTTTTAAAGTGTCTGGGTCAATTCGTCCGTAGTTGTACCACGTCATGTACGACTTGAGAACACTGATGCCGTAGTGGTCTTTGATCCTGTCCACGTTATGGGGCCAGATGAACGTGCCGATGTTTGTACCTGCTGAGAACCTTTGCGCGAGGTCTCCGAACATTTGATGACCCACCCTCTCGGATTGGCTCTCGCGGTCAACTATCCACAGGCCCATGCTAGCCATTGACGGGTCATGCGCAAGGAAACCATGGCAACCTAAAAATATGAATTAAAATTAATTTTCAGAACACTAACACGACTTCTGTCCGGTATCGATGACAATTAAATTGACAATTGTTTTATTGTGATAAACAATACGGTGTAGAATACATATACACAAACAAATTGGTGACAATAATACATGGTGGAACAGGATGGACATTAGTACTGCAAATTTATTACCTAGTATAGAATTACAATAATAGCAATTCATGTTGTATTACATAATTGGATAATGTATAAAAATATTAATGTCTTTGGTACTTTTATAATAATATCGGGACATATATGTTTTCGTCTACTATTGAGTATTGGTTGTTGTGTACCAGTTAAACAGATACAGGCATTCGTCGCCAATTTCTCTTAAATTACATATGTATTACAAAATCTATTTTCACGTGGTATATTGGACCACCTACCACTTTCAATTAGAAACTTAGTATTACATGTTCTACGTTTACAATACGCTTTGGTTAGTTTCGGAGGTAGTTCTAGTAAGTAATTTTCCAAACGAAATTCGTACTTATAGATTCTATAATTGATTCCTTTCGGGGAAGTATACATTTCATTTTTCCAGTTTGATATAATTTTTTCTTCTAGTTTATAAAATGTGGTACTCTTTAGCCAATGTATACTTGGAAACTCTTGGCTATTGAATAAATATAATCAAACTGCATTTTTCAAATAACCTTTTCACTTATATTGGCCATGATAATTCATAATTTGATAAAATTGCTAACAGTTTATTACTTAATCTATTCTGGTTGGTTTTGTCAATTTAGTCCAAAATCCGACCATTCTTACTTTGACATTAATATCTAGCGGAAACCTTTCAAGTTCTCCGTATATCATGAAGTTCGGTGCAGACGCTTTAACATTAAGTACATGTATGTGTTTGCAAAATATATTTTAGATGTAAACGTTCGATAAGTTTATAGTTATAAAAACCCCATACTTCACAACGATATAAAATAACAGGTTTGATGGCTTTGTCAAATATGTCTAGTCGACAAACTTTTGACAGATTATGATCCCTACATTTGGAAATGGCACCATACATTGATTTTAAACCTCTACCATACAGTTGTTTAATATTGAATTGTGTCAAACCAGTTTTAGTAAAATAAATTACAAGATATTTGAAATCCTTAGCTATTCCTATAGCAGTACTGTTGTATGTAAAATTAAGGTCATCAGGAATTATATTTCTACCAAATACCATGATTTCAGTTTTCTGATATTGACTTTAAGAACAGCTGTAAACCGCAGGGACGCTGTTAATTTGAGCGTTCTTAAATTTCGGTCCTTATTACAAAATTTGACATTTCATATTTAGATCACATACATGTATATCCCCGAGTAAAGTGTCCATACCCCTTTACCTAAAATCTTCCAAGAATGGAGAACATACTTAAAGCGTGAATTGGGTAACAGCTCAAAATGAGTTTCTGGAGAATTATGTTCTTGAAACATGTACATATATATTATGTTTGAGAATATGTATGACTTATTTAGTATTCGTCATCTGAAATTTATAATCGACGATCAGTTAGGTTTTATGCAGCTCTCCAATTCACTGACTACAATTTATGAATGGCTGTAAGCCTTCTAAATGATGATACATATTTTTTAATGTTATTTAAAAATGTACAAATACATTTGTACTAAGACAACGCCAATTGTAAGGCATAATCCTGGAATTTTATAAGAGTTGTGTCCCTTTATCTATGTATCCATATGATAACATAAGTTGACGGGTTTATCGTCGACATGACTCCACCCATACGGGGTTTTGTCGGCGTGGGAATTTCGGAAGACGACTCCTGAGCTCGAATGGTTGGTAAATTTGTTTTGATTTGTCTACCACATCCAGGCTGTCACGTGACCCTAGCCTAGCAGAGAACTCTCTTTGGCTTGTACATTTCTATATCACCCACCGCCCCCACCCCACGATGTGCGCATGCCTGATTTTGTTGAATGAAAGTTTTGTTTCTTTGACACCAGAAAGGACAAATAAATGTGCTCACTGTAAATGATTCGTGCTGAGCGACCAAATCGTGTATCTATCGCAACTTTAACGTTGTTTAAAGTCAATGTCAGCAGCGCTTTAACACTTTTTTTGTGTAAAATTTTAAATATTTGTACGCAGTTGTGTAATAAAATACGTGACATACCAACAGGTAACAACCACACCCAACCTCCCACCTTTAGCTACCCCGACCCACACGTGCATATTTTACTAAAACGGATCCCACACAAATAGTATTCAGTTCCTGATACTTATTTATTTACAAAGTCTGCGAAAACAAAAGCTTGATTGTCTTCGACCTAAATATTCCAGGTCGCCGGTATCAGTATGTTTGATCAATGTTTACTTTCAAATTCCCAATGTGAGATTACTCCTGGTCCAAACCCAGCCAAGGGATAGTGAAAACATTAATTAAGTGACTTGTTTTAATAAAATGCCCCTTTCAGGGATGACTTTGTTCTCATCACCCTTTATTGCATATGAAAGTATGCATATGTAAACGAATAAATTAGCATTACTGTAATATTAAAACTACATTTTTTTAATCTGGTGTAGAAGATCACGACCAATCTAGTAACAGAAATAAACTTTAAAAACGAGGTAACTCACCTATGAGTTTCCGTGAGGGTGTTTCCGCCACCACAAAGCCCCGGGGGTCGGTCTTGAACGCACAGTCAAAGTAGGCCTTCTCCATGACCCAGCCCTGTTCAGCCAATAGTCCGTGTACCTGTGGGATGTCACTACTCTCCATACTCCTCACGGAGAAGATAGCACCTGATCTAGTAGATAACCTATTGATGTCAATAGAAGGTGTTTACCAGTCAAATGTATCACTGTGAATAACATCACATCTATAAAAGTAAAACAGATTGTAATCAGGTGTTTAAGGTGTAGAAGAAGCTGCCATGTTTCTATAAGACCTGACTTTCCTGGGTATTTACACGCCCGGATATTATAAAGTCTCACGTGGACTCTCTACCTTGTTGATACAAGCTCGCGGTCTCCATTTTGGCACAACCTCGATGGTACAATCCGAGTTCATATTTGGCCAAATAATACGCTCACAATAATTCACGACACTCGTTTACACGTTTACTTTCGCTTGCTAAGATGAAAACTTAGGTAGTCGTAAAACTCTACAGTTTCCGGCAATAACAAAGACGAAGTCATTTTTAACATGTACGACTTTTGTGGCACTCTGATAGATTTGTCAATTTATTTCCATTCTTTATATTTCTAAGATTCAGTAAAAATAAATTGAGTCTAATTAGTATTACTTTGTATAATGTTGTGTCGTTGATTTTAATCCGCAATCCGCGCTCCGCATCCGCAATCGCTGTCGCCTAGTCTCGTGTGTTACTTTCGTTTTAAATGGAATGTATGCGAGTGTGACGTAATTGTGAATGTTATTGTATACCAGTTTGACCAGTGACAAACTGACCACTGACACCTGTCGCATTGCGTGATATTTTCCCGCGATAATGTTTTCTTGACTTCTCTTTCCTTTCTTTTCTATTCACTTCCTATCTGCTCCTGGTAGAGGCAACATCGTCATATAGATATACACCTCGCAGAACACAGAGAGATACCTACAGAACTTACTATTCAACATGATTATACTAGTGGATCCCCGGTACCACATACAGGGTAAGCTATTGGTCAACTAAGCTCATGGTAACCATGGTGGTGTGTGTCCTAAATAATAATGCTCCATAATCTATATTTATTGGGAATACTATAACTTGTCGTAAATTGTTCATATATACTTATGGGTGTGGTTATTGGCTAAGTGAACACTTTTACTGATGTTATACTTCTGTGTAGGTTACTAAATGTTATTTCCAGTATTTTGTGAACCATATTCATATATTTATAATTGTTTTATCACTTTACAACTATTAAAAAGTATCGTACGTTTCTATTGTTAGGCGAGTTCGTTTCTGTATACTGTCTCCTGTTTGTTTGAATATTGTCACAGGGAAATAAATTATTACAACTGAACAAAGACATATGGTACTCGTCGTTATTGTAAAAGAACCCAAACACTACACTTTGAAGTTTATTATAAAACTACGGCCTAAAAATATCACGGAGTCTAGAGGTGACGTATACCATGTTTTCAGAGCTATTTAAATCATATTGTTACTTGAAAATTTAAATACATCACGCAGTCGAAAGCTGACAACAGTACCTTGCTTTCAAAATGTTATTCTTCCTTGAATTATATGTGTAATTGATATTTATATAAATACCGCTGCCATCGTGTTTTTAAACTGTTTGTTTTATTATTAAAATCTGGTGGTCGAAATTGTTCACACGTTCCGAGCTGTAAATAGTTTAGTGCGGTAACGCTAAAGATCTAGTTGTCGAAATCTGACATATTTTAAGTATTTTGTTTTAAATCTATATGTAGAGTTATAGAGTTTATATATGACATACCTCGCATGGGAGCGTTTACACCAGGTCCGTGCTTGTAACAGGAATCTCATGTCTAATACTCTGATTGTGTGCGTCAAACGTGGAAAGTGACTCGTTTTATAGATGGCCCGTTTATATAAAGCTACGCGGGGAAACCCACAATGAATAAAAATAGCTTTCTGTTACAATCAAAATCGTCCAAAATGAACACGCCCACAAACCGAACGATTGTTTCAGCGTGTCAGTCACTGTATCTGACTCGTCGATTGGTTGATAGAACGTTTGAGGTTGGTGTCGTCCTTGATATCAGAAACATTGTCAACGTACATGTTTCAAACCATATGTGTCATGACTAATTTTTTGTGTGTCTTTTTTTCAAATACTACATAACCATTTAAAGTAATACGATCGGATTTGGCTGAAATAGATTCATAAAAAGGATTTAATCTAAGAAAATCATCGGTATTTCTACCTGTCTGACCAACGTTTTGTTCAGGGATTTCTAAACTTAATTGAAAATATTAATTATATATATATATTTCATTATGTTATTGGGAAAGGGCTTTACATAAGTTGGACAACTTGTGCCCAATCCCTTTTGTATATTAGATGCAAATTAAAATATGTTTGAATAGAAAAATCAGAATCAAGTAACTAGTCACTTGAAAAGGTTGATGATGAATGTCATTATTTATTTTTTAACATTAACAATTATGTGGACCGTGCTATTCCCTTACTATTACCGTAAGTGTCCCAATATAACAAATAGGTTAAGTGTATGGTAATGTAATGTTTGTCATATACACATGATATCTAGACCCACATATATCACAGATCGCCACACACTAGTGTGAACCGTTATACATGGAGGATTACAATAACTACAATATAGGAGGACTTCAAAGCTTTTACTCTCATTTCAAGTATCCCTTGAACTACGTTTTAAAAGTAAGCTACTGTTTTAAGTGATTATATTTCTTTCCAAAGAATGCAGTAACTATATATGCCATCATGCCTTAAATTAATGAGATACATTCTCGGAAACGGATTTATATAAGTTATTTCAACTTGTTTCCAGATCCCATTCCTCTGTACTTTGTATGTTATGTGATGTAATGCAACTTTATTTGGAATGAAATAAAGTTTATATCAAAAGCTTGTAAAACTTCTCAAATAATCTAGTTATTTAAATCCTACTCGTATAGGGTTACACCCTAGCGTGTGTCGGGCGAGATACAAATTTGTTATGATATATATAGCAGGTTTTTATATCGCCCCGACAAACGCTAGGGTTTAAATTAAAAAAAACGAAAACGTTGTTCAGGTAACGCGTTAGAGTGTTAAATCACACAAGATGGATTACAAGACAACAATTGATAAAACAGCAGTCACATTACTAAACACATTATAGATTGTTATCATTACTTGAATTCCTTCGCTATCACTTGTCTAGTATTTTTTTAAACTTTGAGGTTCACAGCGTTCCACTCGATCTATAAATAGATGTATAGGTTGAGTCACGTGTTTACGTATAGTGGTGTAATGTGTTGGCCGCTCCTCGTCAACATCATTAAGATAAAACGTATTCGGAAGTAAAGTTAAATATATTCTCAAATATTGAACCCGTTCTCAACTTTAAATTTGAGAATGGAGACTTATGAATCTTTCAGAAACACTTTTTTGATAATATGCTTAAAGTTAAGCACTAAGAATGGTTTAAGAAGTTTCGAGATTCCGCGGGGCCAGTTGTCCATGTGGTGTAACACATGATTTGAATTCAGGTTTGTTTCCAGTTCTAAATTTACTATAATCATTTGCTAGTTTTTGAGGGAGACCTAGCAGGTTTTTATCTAATACTAAGCCATGCTAATGATACAAAATTACTTATGATCACGTTTTACGTGAAATACGAGTAACGATGTATAATGGTTAAAAGTATATCAGAAAAAAATAGTCTGACAGTAAACTAACTAGACTTTCTATAAATCTCAGCCAAAGGTAGTAAATCAAATAGCAAGGACTAGGCAAAACAAAGGTTTGTTTCATACCGGGAAAAAATAGGGAAGGTCGGTAGGCAATTCTTTTTATCTTAATGTATTTTTTTTTATTTTTGTGAATTCTTAGTATGCTTTATTTCAAAATTGACAATACATTTCCACACAATGGCTATTAATTTGTCAAGAACAAGGTCAGACTAACAGAACAGGAATAAAGTACATTTTAATGAGTGGCTGTGAACTTTGCATGGCTTGAATTTATCGTAGGCCCTCTACTAGCGGGAAGGACTCGTATGAAAGTCGTTTATAGCGCTAGCTGGCTCGATACTAAATAGGTCAAACTTTACAACTGGGAGTTGGTGTTACTAGTCATTAGTCTGTGTTTACAAGTCAGTTTCTTATCACAAAAAGTGTTGAACGTCGACGTTTTTTCTTTGTTCATATTTTGACACAGTTTTATCGACTTTGAATTCCATTTATGTTTTTGTTGATTTACATAATTATATACAATGTAGGGTTTTCATATACAATGTATAGGGTTTTAATATACAATGTAGGGCTTTCATATACAATGTAGGGTTTTAATATACAATTTATAGGGTATTCATATTCAATGTATAGGGTCTTCATATACAATGTATAGGGTCTTCATATGCAATGTAGGGTCTTCATATACAATGTAGGGTCTTCATATAAAATGTAGGGTCTTCATATACAATGTATATTGTCTTCATATACAATGTAGGGTCTTCATATACAATGTATAGGGTCTTCATATACAATGTAGGGTTTTCATATACAATGTTTATGGTCTTCATATAAAATGTAGGGTCTTCATATACAATGTAGTGCTTTCATATACAATGTATAGGGTCTTCATATACAATGTAGGGTTTTCATATACAATGCATAGGGTCTTAAGATTAGTATACTATCTATGAATATTTGGAAACGTAGAAGCTCGCGGAGTTGTGTTTTTTTTTAAGTCGTGGGAATTTTCCCTTCTACCTATTTATAGTTTAACCTAAATGGGGTGATTTGGTATAGCGTATAAAGTAATGAATTACTGTGGGTCCTTTACATATGTCACACGTCACAGAGTTACCTCACACCTTACCTGTAGATGCAGACTTTATCATTGGAGATGAGAGTTGATATACGGAATAGGGCGTAAAGATCTTACTAACACATTACGTAAAAGTGATGGTTATTTATATTTTCAACTGTTGATTGCCGATTTGATACATTCGGTTGGTTATGTCATAATGACGTCATACAAATTCATTTATTGTTGATTTGTAACATTAAAATCCTCTAAAATAACAACAAACATCCCTATGTAGTATTTATTACTGTACAGAGCACCGTTATTGTGGAATGTTTACAGAATAATAAAAAAATTGAATAATAGTTAACTTTAAGATTAGAGATTACTCACCAACAAACTATAAATGATAGGTATCTGGGCTAGCGCTCCCGGATACCAGAAAAGTAAAATACCGGAAACTGCATTATTACCTCGGAGAAATTATGCTTAATTGTCAAAGAAAGATATGGACGTGAAAACAAATCTGGAATATCGTTTTTTCACTATTTGCGTCATAATTAAATTTATATCTACTATACATTTATAAGAATGAACAATTAATAATTACATAGTATAACTTATTTTATGTTATCTCAATTCATACGTTATTCAGAGAGATTTTCAGAGATTTCTGATATGGTGGACAGGTAAAGACGCACAGGTGTGGAGCTCCACAAAATTTTGCTCATTACGGCACATCTCAAGACTTTTTGACCGTATTCTACTGATATTTATTGTGGTAAGGAACTTCAGTGATGTGTGTACTGTTATTTTGATATTAACATACCATTTTATGGGTAAAAACAATCGAAAACGTAAACAACGTGAGTCCGGTGTTCAGTCACCCGTGACCAGTGAGTGTTGGGGCTAATGCACACAATGTACTTTATAACCCGTGCTATCAGTCCAACAATCCAGGTACTACCAGTATAACACCCTCGTTGCCTCCCTCACCCACTCAGCCAAATATGTCCGGTAACTACGTTCCAATGCAAACCGGGAATTTTATTCCATCTCCACCACCGGTACCACCATCCCCCGTCCAACAGCACAGCCCCCCACCTGCCCCGACTTCAGACCCGGTAATAGCTGATATATACAACCGACTATCCAAACTTGAACTGCTACCCAAAATATATGACAGATTGAATTCCTTTGAAAATAGATTTGCACAGGTTGACCGAACGATAAGCGAGGACAGGAGTGAATTAAAGGAACACGGGGAGAAGTTAACTGGAATTGTCTTTCACCAAACGCTTGTTGAGGAGAGGGTCAGTAATACAGAGCAAGTTCGAACAAATACTTGCTCTCCAGAGTAGATCTATGACGGATATTTTTTTATTCGGGGGTATACCGGAGCAGTCAGGGGAGGAAAACACGGAGGGGGTTGTAAAAGAATTTATCCAGAGACAGCTAGAAATCGAGTCCTATATGAAATTCAGTGATGTGCACAGGTTACGGCCCAGATCAGACGGGAAACCCAGAACGATTATAGCCAAATTCGAAAACAGAAAGGATCGCGAGATGGTTTTTAAGTCGGCGCCAGTTAAATTAAGGGGCAAAAATGAGTTCACCGTTAATGAACAGTTTCCCGCCGAGATTAACGAGAGACGCAGAGAGCTCATCCCGATCAAAGGGTTACTCTGAGAGTGGATAAGTTGTACGTCGATGGGCAACTTTACACTCAACCACTACATCCACAAACACAGTCACAGCAGCGTCGGCCGCTATCCCAACATCGTTTTCCGTCTCATCATCACGACCAAACGCGCCATGTCGCTCCGCCAAGAGCAACTGGTCATCGTCGCTAGGGACGCGTCACAAGAGTTCCCGGTGTAAGTCACCATGGTAACCATGGTGGTGTGTGTCCTGACTTAAAACTGACTTGTTTAAATGTTTGCTTTTGCCTGAGTTTATTGATATAATTACATCTCATGATATTCTTGTTTTTGTCGAAACTAAAATTGACAATTTTGATATTCTGGAAATGCCTGAAAATTATTCATATTTCGTGAAA